TTGTTTAGAGCCAAGCTCTCTGTATCCACTGTGTATTAGGTTTATTTTATAAGATGGATTTAAATAACAGTGTAACATTTTCAAGTCTCTTTAAGAGTAGAAATCTTTGCTGTTGCTGTATTTTTTTCCCAGTGTTGGTCAGGAAAATATATTATTGTTTCTCAGTTTTCTATGAATGATAATTTTAATGAAATAATTTAATGAAACAGTGAATAACCCTCCGAAGGACTGGATTGTTTCATGATAATGACTGCATTTTATTTGTTCACTAAATATGTCGTCGCATTCAGTTTATAAAGAACTACTCGCCAGACATGAAGGTTTGAATTTATTAACAATGAAGTACAATAATTTCAATTTTTTGTAGATACTTTCATCAGCCAATGAGAGGAGGCATTTCTTAGCACTTGTTATATTCTATTCTCAGGAAGCTCCAATTTCCACAGTAAAGGTAGTTGTATATGAGATATTTAAGTGGCACTGTTGATCATCACAAGACACGTGAAAGTATGGGTGGCAATTGTTACCCCCCCTTCCCCTCCCCCCACACACACACAAACACACACACACAAACACACACACACACACAAGAAGGAAAATAATTCCATTATTCAGGTAGAAAGAAACCTCTAAAATATAGTCAATTCAAAAATTATACAGAAGCAAGGACAGATGAGAATGTGACAACTTGGTTGACAATACATTGGAGTTTGGAATCAATTTCTTAAATATTCTTGTCAGGCTTTCAATGACAAGTTATTAATTTAATACAAGTTATTAATTTGGTTTTATATTTATTTCATCCATAACGAGAATGCTTCCATTGTTCATTGCATTTTGTAGCAACAGTTTAGTAATCATAGTGCTTCTTAAATTTGTCATTTTTCTGATAATTAACCCATCAACTTCTAGACACGATTTACTTGTAAATTCTCCTCTCAGTATCTTCACATAACAAAGCAAAAGGTGATGAGAATTGACAAATGAATCAGTAACAGGAAGTTGCTCTGATATGACTTTTATTTCTGGCAACTAAGTTGTAGGGAAATGGAAATTGGTGTGAGAAAGTGTGCGTGTATTTATTTGAGTATGACTCTGCTAAAAGTAAGTCTGGTGTATTTCTGAGTGTTCATCAAGCACTTTTTTTTCCTTTTGAATTCATATATGTGCCTAATGGCAGCACAAGCTAGAAAAGGGTCCGAGTGTATTTTACATTGCAGGAATTTTATATCACTTGGACAGAGAATTTAATAAGAGGTGGTATTTGGTTGTAAATCATTAATCCAGAAATAAGAAAATGACTATGAACAGATATTTATCCTAAAATTAGTTTAAAATGAAGTCATGGTTCAGTCAAAATTAGTTTTGTAAAACAATTTTAGGGTAAATTCTCACTCTAGCACTTTGATTTTCATATTATTTTGAATAGTACCTTTTTTGTTGTCACATTTGTAAGAAGTCTTCACCAACTCATTACAAGAAGAACGTTTTCCTTGAACCAGGAGCATTCTAGAATAGAATTGAAAGGTATTTTGAAATAGAAGACAGATGACTTGTCATGTTCATTTGGCCGTACAATAAAGTGAACCTGCAAGTGAGTTGGTGTCCCTGTTGACTTGACAGAATGATTGGTACTGGACTTGATCATGAATTACAAACAAATTTGAAAGACAGTTTACTACACCCAGGCATTTATTTAGCATTGTATTTATCCATGCCCGTAGAGTGTGGTAGCTGTCGTTTATAAGCTATTATTAGTACAAAGTTTTGGACACATTTATCTTTGAAACACAATGAAAGACTTTCACATCTGGTGCACATCACTTTTATGTTAAGCTCTTATTTCTTATTTGTAAGTTTAATAATATTTTGGCCAATTATTTTTCTACCATGCTCCTCCTGATTTTTCTTATTGGCATGTTCTTAAATTTCCGGTAAACACTGTTGTATTTTAATGACTTTATGTTGCTGTAATTCTTAAGCTACTTAGAGCTAAATCAAGAAACCCTAACCCCCCATAATAATGTGGAAGTGAGATATATGATAGAAAACCTTTAGTAGTTCAGCGTTGGAAAGATTGCGATCATTTTTCAAAATTGATGGGGGAACCCAGGTGTAATAGTTATTGCCTTTAAAAGTTTGAGAGAAGGTTGTCTGTATTGAAAATTTTTCTTACCTGACTTTGAGGATTCCTTGTCAAAATTTTCTGTAGTAGATTCCTAACAATGGGAGCAAATTGAAAAGTTCGCCTTTTTATTTTTTGATGAAAATTGATGATCAAAACAAAATGCTTATTATTCTTCTACCAGAACTTTTAAGTTACTCTGGATTTGGTTAATTTGATCTTCCAACATATCTTGCTTAATCCAATTACAGATTTTTAGGAAGGTCAGGCAACTGCATTGTAAATTTTACAAAAGTGTAAGGATTTCCTCTGAGCCAGGTCAGAACTGAAGGTAGTAAGATGTAGTTAGCTACTCCAACAGCTAAACTTTTTGACTTTTTCTCCATATTGTATTTTCTCTTAACAAATTAACATTGCACACTGATGGAACAATAAGAATATCAAATTTTAGAAGGCAGATGGGGTAAATTAATTGGAAGTATGGGGAGTTTTCAGAAATTTGTCTTTTCCTTAAATGCATCAATGGACTACTGCATGACAATATCTGTTTAAGTAGTCATGTTTTGGGTAAAACAAGGTCAGTGTTTCAGTTACAACTCCTTTGTCATGCTCAATATTATTAAACCCTGTTATTGCCAAGATTTAAATTTCAATTCTTCACACTTTCTCAAAAATTTATTTGTTTTTTCATCACCTTTCTGCTTGAATTCCATTGATACTCTAGGGAGAAATTCATTTGTGGTCACTCCTTGGAGTGGAAGGGTCTTAGAAGCAATGCAGGATGGCCAACTAAAATATTTAAGGAGTTGTGTTCACTATGCATCAAAAATTGAATTGGGTGAAATTTGACTGAAGTCATGACAGGTAGACAAGTTTGAGTATTACACTTCATGGCTCTTAATTAAAATTAATTTAAAAAAAACACCACTTGATCTTATATAGACTTGTATCAATTAAAAACAGAGAGATGCACAGCTGTGGTATTCTCTTCTGCAGTGATAGGTTTTGTGAAACAAACCACTAATTTTGAATGAAACAGAAGCAATACTTCATTGTTGTCACTGTAGAGTAAAAGTACAGCAAATTTTTGTAGATAGGGAATGTAGATAATAATAAGTAATGTTATTATCATTATCAAGATGCTATTTGTGAACAGACCAGAACTCTAATGTTATTGCCTCTGTCGCATCTGCTCATAACATATGAAACCAACAAAGTCTGTCAGACCATGTAAATAATTTATTAGACAGACTAACAATGCATATTTTCTGATAATTTCTGGTAGATTGGTAGACTTCGCTATATTTTTTATTTTCAGACCCTATTTCATAAGCATTTAATAGACATTTTTATTGTAATAAATACATTAAACATTATATTGTAAGACCCAGTCATAGAAAATAAAATGATATTTACATACGAAGTCAACTATGCTGTCTCTCTTTTCTTTTTTAAACATTTGCCAATGAAATGGCAGTTTCTCAATTTATTCTCAGGATACAAAATTTTCTTCACTCTATCTTTAATTCATATTAATGGAAATGACTTGGTTGTTTTATAATAATTGCCCCCACAGGGTTTTTGGCCCCAGAGGGCCAAAAACCCGAGGAGGCACCTTAGGACTCCCCGTGTAATATAGAGGAAGACTGGAGAAGAGGGAATGTGGGTATTTTCGGTAGATCATAACCAGAAAAAAATCTCGATTTGATCGCTTGCACGGCCGCAAGGTATCAACGTTTTTCCCGCAAATGGTCATGGGCTGCCAGTAAAAAGACACGCGCGCGAGGACTTTTAGGATCGGCGTCTTTGACACAAGATTTGTCCTAGTATAGAGGAAGACTGGAGAAGAGAGAATGTAGGTGTTTTCGGTTGATCGTAACCAAAAAAAATCTCGATTTGATCGCTTGCACGGCTGCAAGGTATCAACGTTTTTCCCGCAAATGGTCATAACTACACAACTGTAAACAACAAGCCCAACTCAAAAAAAAAAAAGAAAATGGTACTGTAGGGCGGGGGCAGCTCTAGTGAGAACTATAACCAGTTATAATAATAATGACTTTATTGGATAACACAATTACCGGTAAAACCAGTAGTTCTCATTGTGGTCCACTAAAACTTCAAATTCAAATAGCAAAAATACAAAGTAAAAATACAGTTAAAAATTAAAAATTAAAAATTAGAATTAAGAATTAAACATTTAATTAAAAATTTCTGCTTATAGTAAAATTATCAACTCTGGAGTTCCAATCTAAATATTTCTTATATAGTTGATTTTCAAATTTCTGCGAAAGATCATTTCTAAACCCAGTAAATTTTAGGTAAAAGATCATAAGGGCATCAAAAAATATATATGACATATAGATTTACCTCACCCAAATCTTAACACACATAACCATGCCTCCACCCAAAAAACAAAAACAAAAAAACCTTGATCTTGTACCTTCTCTGTTTTGTCATATGAAAGATATCAAAATTAAGACTTCGTTATGACTACACAAATACTCTCTGCTCAACAATTAGACAGAACTCCCCCTTTTTTTTTCTAAGCAATACAGAAAATTTGCTTTCCCAAGGTAGACTCTCTTCAGAAGCCCCTTGAAGAATTTGACAATGGAGAATTTATTAAATTACTTGGTAATGACCACTTACACTCTACCATCAGTATGTGTATGCTCTATACTGTTCCCTTTACATTTTCTATGGTGCAGGCAGGGAGAATTTGTTTCACAATCAAGAGAGTCTTAAGTTGGTGATCATATCCTTTATTCTCATGTCCTTAAGGTGTGAGCTAAGATAGATGTTGTAAGGAGAAATTAGATGTTGATTTCTCACAGGGTTAAGGGGTTGGTGGATTCTTAAAAAGTGGAGACTAATGTTGACAAGTGCAAAATTGTAATTCAATTAACTCCCTCCCTAGTATGTCATCTCATTTTCCAGACCACTTGATTTACATCTTTTGGCTAACAAAGTAGTTCACCAACAATAACAACTTCACATGTCATTTTCACTGTCATCTGTTTCACTGCATCTAGTAACAATGGCACCATTATTTTGGCAGTTATTGTTAATTTATTATCATTACTTATAAAGTTCTATTATCATCAAATTTTAATTGTCATCTTTTTCAGATCTCTATGATAACTGCTAAAGTATGAATCTGCAAATGCAGGGTCATTTCTTTTTTGTTCATTTTCCTGCTTGAAAGAACAATGTCCACAAACTTGAGGAGCTTTTTCTTTTGAGGAGCTTTTGAGGATTTCTTTCTTTAGGAACTAATTTTTTTCTTCTCATTAAAAATTATAAACCAACCTAGAGAACTAGTGCTTAAGGTTCACTTGCATAAGCACACACTGGTGGGAAAAAAAAGATAATTGCAGATAAATGTGCTTCTGCACACTACCAAAGTTACACCTCACCTATTGCTTGAAATCTCAGAATATACTTATCAATAAAAACAGGATTAATAAAATGAGCAGGCAAAATAACCATGATAGAGTTGAATTCTTATCTTTCCCTTCCTTTGGGCCTGTTTTCCTGGTCCTCAGTGGGCATAGCTTGCTCTCTTGCACCCCCATTATGATGTCCCTGGCTCCTGGCCAGGCTCCAGGACCAACTAGTCTGTACTGAGCTGGTATACATGGGCCAAAAAAGCACCTGAAGGCAAGAACTGGATCTGTCATGAGGAGGTGCCATAGATTTGGTTTTGCTCCAATTAGAGATGACATTTCATCACAATACCTGATAAAGTTGACCTGTGATTTGGCATAAAGTAATAATTAGAACTCTACTTTCAATTGATTTTAAAAAATTGCCTGAGTCTACTTCCAGTCCCTTTGTTTCAACCTTTTAGCAAAGACAGAACTCCCACATCCTTTATCTCACTCCTTGCCTCTAACTTCCTACATCCACTGACACCCAATTCCACCTCTTCACTGGGTTAAATCATGTCAAAATTCCCACTGATCAGTCATTTGGCATAACAAATCCCATTTTTGAGAGATGGCTACATACCAATGGTTTCAAAAATTCAACAGATTGTGATTTTACTGTGAAAGAAAATTTATTAGTACATACTAAAACACTGGATAGTGTTGAAGGCCCTTTCTGATTGGCTACTCAAACTCTGAGTATCCTTTGCTGTTCACCTCCAAGCAACCCGCACAGGATTTGTGTCCGAAAATATTGCAATTGTTGCAGGTAGAAATGCATTAAAATCATCGTTTTGTTCTATGTTATCTCACCATTTTAGTAGACTAGTACCAGTACATACTAAAACAAGTATTAAGCTCATAAGTTTTGGTGGCTACCAATCATATTTATCCACCTAGGCTCCTCTACTTTGGTATATAATTTTTAAGTATTCAGAGATGTCCATGATCATAATTAAAGAAAGGACTGTATGAGACATGGCAAACCTCTCTCAACTTCATCTAAATATTATTACAAGGCAAGTAATCGAGTCAAATTTTAGTTAAGAATGTAACACAACACTGTACTTAATGCAATATCTGGGTCTTAGTGTGCTAGGCATTCAAACACAGTTTTTACCAATAATGTTACACCTAACTGGGTATTCCTGGAAAGGAGGTGCTCATTTCTTACCAAATGAAAAGCTCGACAACACTCTATCGTGGAGGCCTCTAACAATTGTTGTCTCCTTTCAATTTCTTCCACCATAGTTTGACAATCAGGAAGTTTACTTTTACCAGCAAAAACACTTACTGCCCAACGGGATTGCATCTCAGCTATGGGTGGGACAGGCCCATTTACACGTACTGCTCCAATGATGGCAATAGTACCTGGATTACAAAATGGTGGGAATACATATCGGTACATGGGAATGTACCTGTCTTTTGGGCAAAGAAGTGAGTCAGAGAGAAATGGAAAATGAAACTTATATCCAGTGGCCAGAATGATCACATCGATGTCTTCAACTTTTGAGCCATCTGTGAATACTACATTTTTCCCTTTTATCTTTGCAATTTCTGCTTTGACTTGAATTGAGCCAGTGATTATGCAATGTGGTAGTTCGTCATTTACTAAAGGGGATCTTTTGTCTGGTGAATGAGCTGTTTCTAAGCCAAAGTTGACTAAATTAAAACCTTTCTTGAGTTTGTGGTGAAACACCTGTGCACGGATGGCTGATGGAATTGAGTCTACCAATCTTGTCAGGAACTTGGTATCTCCAGGACCATCCCCACCTAGCAAACGAGAAACAACCCAACCACCACTTCGCGTGCTCAGATATACCTGTTGTGTATGATGACTTAATTCACAGGCAATATCTCCTGAAAGCAAGAGGAGAAATGACAGATTAAGAGCTGTCTTGCAATAAATCAGAATTTGATTTCTTCATCCATCAGTCTCATTAGTCAAGGATGTCAGTCTAACAGGTCAGTTGGCCAATTGTGAGAGAATCAGTCGAAACAAGCAGGAGATGGCAGGAGTACTTCCTATATTGGAGTTTAAGGGGTAACATAGATAGCATAATTAAACAGGAGAAGAATGAAGGGGTCTGGTCTTAACAAATTCAGGTATGGAAATCAGTACGGAATTAACATATGGTACTTTTAGGGATCTAATGGTTCACCCTCTTTGCCTTGAACTGCACCTGTCTGAATGTCCAGCAAATCATCCATCATGACCTCAAGCAATCTAGTCAGTCAGTCATTTTATGACATGTAATGCATCTTAAAAGCACTATTTACCTGCCGAATTTCCCATGCCAACTACAATCACACGTTTCCCTTCAAAGTTTTTCCAAGTTCTGTATTCCTTGCTGTGGATGACGTCACCACAAAATCCATCCAACCCTGGAATGTCAGCGATACGAGGTTCCTTATTGATTCCAGAACAAACCATCACAAAATCGAACTCCTCGACCTGATCACAGTTCTGCTTCAAATCCTGATAGCGAACTCTCCAGCGAGCATTTTGATCCGCTTTGGAATCTGACGTTGGCTCTATAGAGAGAACATCGGCCTCAAAACGAATCCTCTCTTCCAACTCAAACTCTCTTGCGTACATTTGAAAGTATTCGAGGTAATTCTGCTGAGGAAGGAAATTGGGCCATTCTTTAGGCATAGGAAAGTCACTGTAACAGCTAACGTGCTTACTAGTATTGGTTACAGTGGAGTAGGCCACACAGCTTCTTCTACGTTTTTCTTCAGTCAAGTCTGTGTATTTCCAAGCACCTCCCAGCCAAGGATCAGTTTCGAACGCAGTCGGTTCAAGACCGACTTCTAAACAACTCTTGATCGCGGCTAAGCCAGTCGGACCGGCACCAATAACGGCAACTGTCTTTGTCATACTTCTATGATAATACTCAAGAAAATGGATAAAATTAAACCAATAAATGATTATGGTCCAGATTCCGTAGGGCACTACAGGTAATATCCACAGCACTCAAGATTGCGTGACTTTCTTAGAATTAGAGAAAGAGACTGGAGGCTAGCATCCAGACTGCTCTTTCCTCCTCGACTCCTATCAGCTATGTTTTTTTTGTGTTTATGGAAATTCGTACAGTTGTAAACAACAACTAAGAAACCACCCAAAATGCAAAGAATTACGTCTCTGAGTTTGAGAAAGTATGGAAAGTGGGAAACCTAGCTTTAGTCGTAGTAGGGGAAGTAGAAACGTGGACAGCGAACAAGAAACTACAGAAGCTAATGGCGGCCGCGACAGAAACAGAGTGAGGAACTTTACTTTTTTTAAGCTTTGGTTTTAACTGAATACTTAGACCCAAAGACCATGTATACACTCTTGGTAAGGACATTTACTATAGCATGTCTCTGAAGTAGGAAAGTTGCCTTCTGTTTCGTGCTTTTTTAGGACGATGATGAACTTTCTGTACAAGGAAGTGAAAATGGTGGGCATCGTACACCCATGTTTAATGTTCCCGGGACTGCATCAACTAGATGGAGCTCACTATCCAGGTATACTTTTAACAGAGTTACATAGAAGTTTCTTTTTTAATCTCTTAATCGGCTTGGAGGTGCTCTAGCTAGCCTCAAGGTGAAAGTGATATGTTCTACATGAACAGTGTAGGGCTAAAACT